TATATATATATATATATATATATATATATATATATATATATATATATATATATATATATATATATATATATACACACACACACACACACACACACACACACGTGTATATGATACCATAAATCCCACTCATTTGAATGATAATCTGATTAGTGCACAAGCAGATGAATTGAAATCCTTCTCTGGAATTTCTCCTTTCAGTTCTGATCCGCTACATTTGTTTTGTTCGGTTACATAATATTCTCAAAACGCAATCATATGACCATTAATGGCTATTTTCTCCTCAATCAGAGGCAAGTATATCATAATAATGAATCTAATCACCTTACCTCTTTCCTGAGTAATGCAATATTTTACATGTAATATTTTACATATTTAAAGTTTTTATCTTAAAACCTCAAAGTTCTATTTACTATGTCATTGTACATTTCATTACTGCCACCTTGCTGAGGACTTTTAGGTCCCCTTCTGTGTTGTAGTTTCAATTAAATCCCAAAGCTCTCCATTCTATCTAATCCCAAATCTCTGCATGGGAGCAAATGCTCCCAGATTTTCATCCTCAGACCAGACAGTTTATCTAATAAGAGTCTGCTGGCTGGAGCTTAAAAAACAAATCCCAGGAAATATTGTCTGTGATTCTGCAGGTGATTAATACAGTCTGAAAGGTAATGGGTGACACAGCTTTTTTAAAATCTATATTATGCAAGAAGGATGAAGGTGAGAATAATGTGTGAAAATGATCATGGAAAAATAAAGATAACACAAAATCCTTAAGTTCTTAAAATAAAATGCAAGTTTTGAAATGGAGACTAGGCCGTGGTGAATGCAAACCCTTTTAGGAGTAGTAAAAGATTCATTTGACCTGTGTGGCTTAATGGTATAGAGCTGTGGTCCCCAACCACCGGGCATTTGGTACCAAGCCGCACAGAAAAAAATATATATTTATAATTTATCGACAATCAGAGTCTGAGTGATGTTTTATTTTGAAAAATATAAGACATTGGGGTATTACCTCCCAATTACATCAGTGTAATTGTGCCTCTTGACACTGGTTAATTCAGGTCAAGACGCATCCTATCTATAACATCCTATCTTTGTGAGGCGGGATTTTCTGCGGTTACAGCGACCAAAACAGAGCTAGACTGGGAAGACTGGACATCCGGAGCACAATTGGTGTGTCATTGTCTCCCATTACGCCTAGATGGGACCGGTTTGATTTGGAGAAACAAGCTCAGGGCTCCCACTAATTCAACATAATTGTGAGTTTTATTTTTATGCTGTTTGTATTTGATTTTATGCCAGTCGTATCATTTTATTTGCTCGTATTTACCCCCCACAGTTTAAAGGCCGGTCCGTGAAAATATTGTCTGACATATAATCGGTCCGTGGCGCAATAAAGGTTAGGGACCGCTGGTATAGAGGATGGTCTTTTATTTCAGGGTGGATCAAATAAGAGGTCCTCCTAATTGTAAATTATTCTGGCGATATGTTTACGTGAGGCCGTCCTACGTGCTCGTCCACAGTTAGCTATGTTTTTTTCTGCACATGCTCTGTGTTGAGCTACGGTTTCAGACAGTCATTGAAGCTCACCTTTCACACCGTGGTTCTTTGAAAATGGCCGAGGATCATAAGAGAAAAACTGTCTACGAAGCGCATGAGTAGAAAAGAAAGGCCTCAGAAGAGGCAGATATATCCCAGAATGCGCAGAGAGCTCTCCTCGCAAAGCATCATGGCATTTGCTGTCACAGCAGCCCGCTGTCGCCATAGGCTGTCACTACCTGACAGCAGCAACTGATAACAAAGATGGCGCAGGCATCTGTCCCAACGGTCAGCCAACTGAGTTCACTATAAAGTCCCCTATATAGTCCCCGCCGTATGTAGACACAGTGAACGTGTATGAGCTATGAAACAGCATCATTTAAACAGGGTGTGCACAAAGAGAAATTGGCTTGTGCATGCTCTTTCACGCACATTTAGTTTTTTTAAGTGGAGAGGGCGGGTCTTTTAAAAAAATCCTCCACAATACCTTAAATGTTCAAATAAAAACAGGAGAAATTAGTATGTTTTTATTTTTTATCCTTGTTATTTTAGTTTCTTGACATGAACCTTTTTGCTAACGTCATATAGATAATGACGTTAGCAAAAATAAGGTTAAAAAAAAAAAGAAAGAAAAAACAGAATGCATGTTTTAAATAATGAGTAAATGACAGCAGACCCAATGGATGCCTTTGAAATAGTATCTTCAGCTGTGGTATTGGTAGATAAGAGGCTTATAGGGAGACGGTTACCTGCTTTTAGGGACGGTTTAGTTTAGTTGTACCTGAAATATGAATATCTGGAGGACAGATGTCTGGAGAGGGTGAAGACACTGGAGCTGGCTCCTCTGCACAGATCTGCACCAAGAGAACCAAAGAAAACGACTGAAATAAAAGCAGAGCTCACGCAGAACAGAAAAAAGATTTTAGCAACTTTTCAGGGTAATATCTTTGACTTTAAGGACACCCTGAGATTAATGAAGCCGACTCTCAAACTGTTTTTTACTGACTAAACAATCAAGAAAAAGAATAAAGCTCATTGTTGTATCAGTTTAAGGATATCTGAAAAATTGGGTCTTCAAATTACCATTTTCAGAAAGTTTCCCGATAAGACTTAGGCAAATGTAATGCATCTAATGTTATTTAATTTGTCACCTACTTGTTGGTTTATCTATTTATTTCAACAAAAACAGTTTCTAATAAAACTGGTGACATTATGAAATAAAACCAGAACTCAGATCCTCTAATTAGAAATCAGAAAACGTCAAAGTGCAAATTAGTCCTAGTTTTGCACACAAGCCATATCATATCATATCATGCCACTTTTATTTTAAAAAAGGATGATTATTTTATTTTTATTTGAGGCTTTTTCTCTTTAATCCTTGAGTTATGCCGTTTATAAGCAACCTCTGTGAATTTTCATTTATAACTTGTTCATTATATAAGAAAATTAGTCCAATTAAAATAGGTAAACACCCGATTGCCAAGGAATTAAAATAAGTTGCACTGGATTGTTTGTAAAAAAAGCAACATTGCACATGCAATTAAAGGTGGTGTTGCAGGTAATACACTAAGATTTTGTGTGCAATGGATAAATAGTGCAGGTTTCACAGTCCTGACTGTTTAAATGAGGGTGCTGTGTGATAAAAGAGATGAAATTCAAAGTTTGAGGTGATGTTAATAAAATAAACCCAGAGAAAAAAACAAACAAATATAAAAACACATTTTAATCATAAAACACTCTTTCTATATGCATTTTAAAGTGCATGAAAATGATAAAAGATAGAGTTAAATGATGAAATATCAGTCATGTTAAAAGAGAATCACTTTTTTTCTTTCAGTCTGGAAAAATCAAACTACACAAAGCTTTATCTGCAAACAAAGTGCAGCTGAGGAGAACCCTGCTGCTTCTTCCCCTACGGGTTGGGTGAGGGTTTCCTGTTATTGTTTACTCTTATTAACATCACAATATTTGAATTCAGTTAGGATGTTTAATTTTCGTTGTTTAATTGCATTAATACTATCAACATTATTCTGTCCTGTCCAGGTTGGAACATGAAGCAGACAACTATATCCTGTGCCAGCTTATAGCATATAGAAGCATCCCTCCAGTGCATCTAAACATAATGTAGGATTAAAATGATATAATCCTGCAGCTCCAAATGGCGTTGCTAGATGGATGATACCTCTCTTTTTTCTGACAGTCAAAAATATTCACATGTGAACATGTTTACATGTTCACATTTGCCTCCTTGTCGCCAAAATGGTAAAGCATTTGTTCATGGCTTTTAAGCATGCTAAAAAGGGGTGTAAATAATCGTTTTGTATCGATGCATCGATCCAACAGCCGACGATCCGATGCATCGATACGTCTGCAAGAGAATCGATTCATGTTTTTTTCTTTCCTCCGGCTTATTTTTATCCATTTGCTCCTGGGTGCAATTCTCCCTCCCGTGCTGCGGTGGCGCTAAACCTATTTTGCCCTCCTACC